TGGTCTAACGTCAATCGGTTCATGATCTCAATCAAAATAAGATTATAATAATCAAAGGATTTATTCGAAAGATTCAATTGATGAGTCTCCGTTTGAGATTTCCTGTATTTCGCATCACAAAAATCTAAAATACATTTATAATAGCCTATGAGTATAGATAGTTAATATTCATCATTACTGAATTCCAATAAAATCTAAAGTACAAAAAAACTTCATTACACTATTTACCCAATTCGAAAATAGATAGCCCAAACAATTGAGCACGTCTTTAAACAGAGATATAAATGTCATTTGAACATTAACAAACAATGATTTTGATTATTACTCTGAAAAAGTCCAGACAAGTTTGCTGGACGAAACATGGCAATTATTTCAAATTTTAACCACTGAGATTTATTTTATATGTAATGATTCCTCTATACTTGGCGCCTAAGTTTTATCAAACTATTTATTATAATCTTGACAAATATTCATATAAACAATGATATTATTTTCAACGGTTTATATATATATATATATATATATATATATATATATATATAAACTAATTAAATTACATTTTCATTAATTTGGTAGAATAAATAAGCTAATTAGATTTAAATTTTTAATGACAACAAATGTTTATTATTGTTAGAAATCGGTTATATGGAGATTGTAGTAATTTAATAATTGAATTGAAAAGTCAATCGAAGCTAGACTACTGTGGAGAACCTAGAAGCACTGAAAAGCCGTTTCATCCTAGTATGGTACTCCTCAGAAGTACGCATCCAAGAACCCGAGTTTCGAACCCAGGACATATCAGTCTCAGGGGCGAGCGCTTGAACTCTAGACCGCTGAGCCGACACTCAGCAGCATTAATGTCTATCTTCAACCAATTCACAAAATTGCTCCACTGTCCACCATTGTCTTCAGTGAGTTACTGTCTCACAACAGACCTGGTTGAACTCCACTGGTCACTGCTTCTTACTAGAAATCCAGGAAATAAGTCTTGGAGACAGTCACTAGTGAGCATATGATGATTATAATAAGATAGGGTTTCATGGAGATTGTAGTAATTTATTAATTGAATTCATGTGTCAGTTTAAGCTAGACCACCTTCAAAAAACCTAGGAGCACTGGATGGTCAATAATTAAATGAAAAGATATTTAATCAATGAAATGTTATAGGTGGTTATAATATAAAATTATTGTACTAAGTAATATTAGTTTGGTTCAATGGATTTTATCAAGAAAATCAACATATTAAGTTTGTAAAATGCAATCTAATAAGTAGTCATGATTATTATTCATATTTCACTGAATTATGTAGATGGATAAATTGTATTTTGTGGGAAATGAGATTAACAAGACTGGTTTCAGTTAAATTCTCACTAAGCTTTACTTTAATGTGTAGTATTATATATATATATATATATATATATATATATATATATATATTTCAATGGTTGAGATCTCGAACCAAATGATTCTGGAACACCATAGAAAGCCTGAAAGCACTGAACGGCCGTTTCGTCCTCAGTAGTGCGCATCCACAATCCCACCGCCCGCGAGATTCGAACCCAGGTCTAGCTCCAGTTGACTCATAATTTCAACTATTGAAATTACTAAAATCTCCACAAAACCCCTTCCGAGAATATGTATTAATTAACAAATAAAAAATTTTAAACTCCTATTTATGAATATACAATTTATACAATAAATTAATTAATCCAGATTGTCATCATGACATGAAATGAACTAAAATAAATTCTATCTATCAGTTACTGAGCTTTTTTGAAGTTAGACATTAATAGTATTGCATACTGGCTCTATAGTCTTGAGGTTAAGTGTGCGATACCGAAGGTTCTGTGTTTGAATCTCACGTGTAGGATCGTGGATGTGCATTTCTGAGGAGTCCTATACTAGGGTTAAATGTCTATCCAGTGCTTCTAGGTTTTCCGTGATGATCTAGCTTTAATGGACTCATGAATTCAGCTATTAAATTATTATGTATCATTCAGATAAAAATGTCGAGTTTGTTCAAGAATTAAGTCTTTATGTAGAAAAAACCTCTTAAAAATATTCTTTTTTCACTATGTATTGTTATAGAGAGTCTGTTAAAGACGAAAAGAAAAAGCACTTAATATCTAACCAATAAAAATTATTTAGGTCATGAACTTGGTCTATTAATTTTTATTAATACAAGTATTCGAGGCGGGGGGAACTGCTAAATATAACTGATATTAGTGTCATTTGAATAATTGTTTTATATAGTAAATTACTCTAGGAAAAGTGATTAATAAGTGATAAGGTCATCTTATTAATGGTGTTATGAAAGCTAGTTGTTTTCATATGTGACATTACTATTGGTAATATTACAGTGATATATACCTATGTACATGACAGATTTAGGTTTTGCATGGCGTTCAATAACTTGAAAAAAATCTTATCTTCTTAAGTCTAATATTTTTCAATAAAAATGTTCTAACTTTATCTACAAATAACAAATATGAAGCTAAATCCATTACATTTTATTCTTGAATAATTCAATGTAACTATAGTGTATAGTGCTGATGTTGGTAGATATAAGTAGTATGTAACACCAATCGGAAGTGTATTATTTGACAGTAGAAGGTTAAGAAGATCGAATAAAGAGAACAGAAATGTAAACAGAGATTAATTATATTAACAACAGGAATGAAGGAACGATGAATTTTATAACAGACAACTGATGGGAGATGTATAAATATATTTTTAAAAATTTTTTTCTATGACACTCCATTATTTTGTATTAAACAAAAAAATGGTTATCCTCATTTAACGTTTTCATTCACCACATAACAACCAAATTAACATTAAAGTCTTTCCATTAAAAATTTTTTTAAATTTAATTATTAAATAGTTTGTTTTGTTACTTAATATTATAATCAATAATACTCTGGTGTACGCTATTGATATCGATAGATATAAGTAGTATGTATCATCAACCAATCTGGCGACAGAAGGTTAAAAAGATTAAAGAAAAGAGAATGATTGGTGTGGAAACGAAAGAACAATCAAGTCTGTGACGATTGACTGATATTTTTGTAAATGAAGTATGTACTGTATGATTCTCAGATTTTACTAAGGGATTCTGTAATTTTGTGCTGAAATACATTCGATTATCTCAAGTTGTTTTTGTTCACTATGAAAAGTTCATATGTTTATTTAACTGATAAATAATTTCAATAGTTGAAATCATGAGTCAATTGAAACTAGACCACCATGGAAAACCTGGATGCACTGGACGGCTGTTTCGTCCTAGTATGAGGCTACCCAGCAGTGCGCACCCACCATCCCGATTAACGAGATTCGAACCATTAGACAACTGAGATGGCTGGCATCCAACGGCGTTAATGTCTAACTTCAACCAATCTTCGAAATCGAGCCACCGTACACCATTGTATTTAGTGAGTTGATATCTCACAACAGACCTGGTTGGTTGTTTCAAATATTTTAATAAGGGGTAATTAAAAGAATACTGTTTTTTTCTTTAAAACCATTTTCTATAGTTCATTAATTTTGTGAAGTTATCTAGAATAGAATAACTTCTATTCATGCATACAAAATGACAAATAAAAATCATTTTATTCTGTGGATTATTGAAAGAAAGAAAAAAGAGAAGCTGAAATGGGTATGTTTTTTTCTTTCCTAATTATTTAACAGAATTTTTATGAGGATCTAGAAACATTTCTCATTTGAAAGTTATTCATAATTGATGAACTTTGAATTGTCTTATTTTAAAACATCATTAAAAATATTCTCTTTTTATAAACATTTAACTATAGAATAATATCAATCATGTAATCCAATAAAGTATTGTTTATTATTTAACCTTCATCATTAGTAAAGTTTATGATTACAAATAAACAAACAGGGTAACATTAGCATCTTTTCTTATCTTCCGTATCGTACTGATTCTTTATCAATGATATTGTTAGATAGTATACATATATTTTGATAAATAATCATTGGGTAAATGTTTAATCGTCTTTGATTATCCTGTTAATTGAAATTCAGAAAAATATTTTTATTAAGTTGATATTAATTGATTATTATAAACAAACTGTCTCCTTCCACTTAATGAATTCACAATTATTACAGCGTACTTTAGAATAAATTTTGTTATAGTCCTCCTTTACTTCATTACATTATTGATTGTCTCTCATATATATTAAAAGATACTATTAAATCCTCCTATTGTAAGTTCTTTTGATAATGATTTTTGTCGAAATTAAAAATGTACTAGTCGGTGATATACCAAAACATTGAATAATCAATATATATATATATATATATATATATATATATATATGAGTAACCGAAAGAATAGATGGAAAGACTATAATTTATAAACGAACTAATCACGTTTAGGATGACAGGTCTCAGATTTTCGTGCAAATTTCATTCACTCAATTGTCTAAATAGCGTCTTGACATTTTAACTGATGAAAACCATAAATCTAATTTCTAACGTTAACCATCAATTATAAATCATAATCCTCACTGTTCATACTGTATTATCACCATCATTCAGCCTTAATAAATAGGTAGACATTCCCAAGATCACTTAAGCGTCGCTAAAATATCATCCATAAATTATAGTCTCACCGAAAAGATTTCTAAATATGACTAAATTAGCTGGTAACCTGTTTGAAGAACAAAACAAATCGATAAATTTCAATAGTTGAGATCATGAGTGGATTAAAGCTTGACCGCCGTTGGAAACCTGGAAGCATTGGAAGGCCGTTTCGTCCTATTGTGGGACTAATCAACAGTGCCCATTCACGATCCAGTGCTTCCAGATTTACCATGGTGGTCTAGCTTCAATTGACTCATGATCTCAACTATTGAAATTACTATAATATTCACAAAAACCCCTTCTTATATAAATCGATAAATTTTACTCCTCTTATTTAAATTTAAATAAAAAATTAATAAACTACAAATGAAAGAAAAAAAATTTTTTTTTCTATAACTTACTTGTACAATAAAATTGAATACTTTGCACCAAAATATACCAAATATCCAACTTTTTAAAAAGTATTGCATTACAGTTATAGGACTTGTCATTGTTAAATAAATTAAATCTGTTACAGCTAAGCCAACACAAAATGTTTCATAAACCATACGTGTTTGATTACATGTTAATACACATATAACTAATACATTACCTATTATACCAATTGTTACAATACAACATACTAAACATGCCATAATAATTACAGAAATTTCAATATCAGGTCGTATAATAGAATGTAATTCCATAGAAACATCATTATATATTGTATTATTTATTGAATTAGAGAATACAGGAAATAATGCTATAATAAATACAATCAAAGTCATGATGATAGTAGTATATGATATAATATAACAAAGATTAAATAATTATTTAATTAAAATTTGATATTGTTAGTAATATCTAAGACATTTCATTTTCATTTAACATAATTAATTTATATGCTAATAAGGTTAAATCATTCTATTGAAGTTAATCATAGAACTATAGAATAAATGTAATAATCGAATAGAGTTTATTTAACCAATAGTTTAATAAAAAGTATGATATAAAATTGCCTATTTGTTTATTTTTCTTTTTGTTTTCCATTTTAAAATGAAGCTTTAATGTGATTGGTCGATTCACTTTTTTTGTTTATAGAATGAATTAGCCAATCCGAAATAGTTATTTAATAGAGTAATTTGTTTAAATAATTTAGTTTTATGATTAATATCATAGACTACTGGAAACCAAGAAGAACTGATGAGATGTTTCGTTTGTGTATAGGACTTGTCAATAGTATATATCTATGTCCATTGGTATTAAGCATTTAACTTCAGACATTTAATCTAAAACTTTAACCTGTAGACAGCTGAACTGGAATTTAATGTTTTCATTTGAGTTGAATTTTAATTTGTTTTGTTCTAATTCTATACAAAATAATAAATCTTTGTTTGAAATTATAATAGAAAAATAGTCAACTGAGCATAGTTGTGCTTTTTTATTATTACCCTCCTTACGTTTTATTATGAGACTGAAATCATTTTAAACGTAAATGACGTCTCATTTTAACGTCACAAGTGAAATCAATTACATTTAATACCTATTCAATCAGAAATTTATGTACCCTACAGATATTTATTAAGTCATTAGGATTTGCCTTTTATAGAGCTAGGTGTTAGATAGGAATACTCCTAGCTTGAAATTTTTGAAAGTAAATCATACCTTCGTTTTTTGTCTGATTGAAAAAAAGTCTTTTTACACAAAAGAACAATATATTTGGTATTTAGGAGTTCTTATAGTTCAATAGCCAAATTTAATACCAAGTTGTTCAAAGACTTATACTGGCAATCAATGATATATTTTATTAAACAAATTGACATTCTCAGTCCTCAATTAACCATTAGCAACATTTCTATATCGTTGGACTAAGCATGATATCTTTTATCGGAAAAAGCAAAACACAACTCCAACTCTTAGTTACAATCACCTTATGAAGACATTCGATTATGATAAATCTCTTTGGTCAAGATTTCGCCTTTGTGAAATCCCCCTTGATACATAATGGTCTAAATATTCTGAAAAAGATTTAAAGCAGTTAATTCAGTATTCATCTTAACAATGGTACATCAGATATTAAAATAAGGTTTATTGAAAGTTCTGTAAATGCAGTTGCTAATGTTACTACAAAATCAAATGCAAATATTTACCTGCAATATTTGGATTCCATCGGGAAATCTATCTGAATGACATGATGTTCGTTCAAGTGAATATGAACTACAACAATCTCCACAACTCCTTACTGACAAATTCCATTTACTCACCAGTGACTAGCTTCTAGTGGAATTTTTTGGAGTTCTAGTAAAAAGCAGTGACCACTGGATTTCAACTGTGTTGGATATGGGGCAATAACCCACCGAAGACGATGGAAAATGATCGCGTGACATCATGGATTAGTTGAAGCTAGAGAATAACACAGTTGAATGCTAACTCAGTGATCTGTAGGTTAAGTATTCACGCGAGAGGCCGAATATCCTGGGTTCGAGTTCCTTGTGCGGGTTGTAGATAAGTACTACTAATGAGTCCGATACTAAGACAAAACGGGTGCCCAGTGATTTCAGGTTTTCAATGGAGATCTAACTTAGATATGTTCATGATTTCAATGAATTAAAATAATTCTCTTTCATTTAACATAATAAAAATGTTAATGTCAAATAAATAGTTAATTGAATGATTTTTGTCTCTATGTCTGGTTTTGATCCATTAATTTAACTTATTTAGATGACCAGTTTTCATTGACATATTCTTAAAGAACTTTACGAAGAAAAATGTGCTTTAAGAGTTTCGTTTAATAAACATTCTTACCAATAACTTGCAGTAGAATTTATTTTATAATCCTGTTCGTTGTTTTCAAATATGTAACCAATTCATGTTTATTTATCACTTTAAAGCACTGTTTATAACATTTTTGGGTTTTAAAATCTAAGATTTACAAAAGTTTACCTAAATTTGTATTTGTATGTAGTCACCTTGATAACCATTATTACATAAATCCTACGGTATTTGAAATCAGATGGCAATAAGAAACGACGACTACAGATAATTGTTGGATAGCACAGATAACATATCTACAAGAACATCCAGCAAATGTAGAGCAGAGAGGCTAATATGTATGAGCGAGCGAATACATAGGCGAATTTATTGCCAAATCGAATAAAAGCGCAGCGAGGCAAGGCTAAGGCTAATAATCGGATTCGAGAATATGTATATTTCTTCTAATCTAATCGTATTGTCGCGTTATCCTAGGCTATAGAATGACTTGAGGATTACCAGGGTAAAATTAAGGTTACGACAAATTTACCCTGGTAATTCATAAGTCATTCTATGACCTAGGATAACGAGACAATTTCTTATTCTTTCTATACGATGTAAAATTGTTTCTCTCTCCTTTACTTGGACTTTCACCTAATTGACCTTTATTAATTTTCATATAAAATGTCCTGAAAAGTATATGTGTGATCAGATTGTTCGAAATATATAGCGCAAATACATCAACTCCATCTTCTCATTGTTCTATCGAAACAGAAATATGTCTTGTAGATTTCACAATAGTTATTTACAATAGCCTTTTGGCTTATATATTTATCTGATTAAAAGATATATATATATCTGATGCTTAAGAAATATTCACATATAGTAGTAAATAAATATAAATGCATACTAAGTTACTTGAATATATCCCTAATTGATCTTATCTGTTAGTGGTCAATTTTTACACAACAACTTGACCTTTATAAGATATCTCATTTTTAAGTTCAGATTCCTTTTTTCACAAATATACATAACTTGACGCATACAACACTTAATGATTCTCCAGAGTGAGAATACGAATCAAGTTAATGTATCTTTGTTAATAAGATTGAGTTGTGTAAATTTTATTTGGAAGTATATAATAGCAAGATATTTACTGACAAGGTCATTTATTGATTGAAATTTTGTTTGTTAACTCATCTAAAACAGAATAATATCAGTAAAGAAAATCTAGATATAAATTGGTTTTATAAAGAATGAATAGGTCTATAAGCAAAGATGGATAGTGGCTAGCAGTGGAATCCAGGATGTGCGTTTCGTTCTATTTGGGACTAGTTAGCTGGATGTACTCTCATCCCATATTTGATATTCACTACAGGACTCGAACCCAGTACAGAGCTTGTGATCTATGACAATATCGAGGCAATATACACAGGATGCATATATACCAACAAGTGGCTGATCAATTGCAGTTCTAAACAACAATGGGAAGATACAAACAAACAGTAACAAGTAAATTTAAATTTCAATGCATTTTATCATTTAACTTCTAGTTGGTTTCGTTAAACAAAATATCCTTCTATATTGGAACATTTCTTTTAAAATGTACAAGCATTTCATTATTATACTTACGAGTGTATAGCTTTTATCTAATCGATTAAAAAAACACAACAACAATAACAGAATTTCTATAAATTGAATGGTATAAATTATGTTTGATAAAAACGATGCTTATCTAGACACATAGATGGAGACAATCGACCAGTAGTTGAGTAAATAACAAAATATTTAAGAGAGAGAGAGAGAGAGAGAAAGAGATACTTTATTCTCAAACAAACTACACTTTTGTTTATCTTATACAATTCCCAAAAGATTATTATTATTATTATTCTTTTTTATTCTTTTAACCACTTCACCGTAGGATAAACATCTATACAGATCTATGTATTTCTGTAATCATGATAGTGCTTGGATCAACTATATGTTATAGCTTCTCCATTTCCTTATTTCTCGTTTGAATGCTTATCGTGTATGAGAATGACTTGTACAACATAAACTGTTTACAAAACAAGAAAATAATATTTTTCTTTTTTTAAAAAAAACAAATATTATTGTTCTCTTATGTTTTATATAATTAAACATTTTACACACAAAATAAAAACAAGTCATGTTTTGTTAATCTTTTTTTTTTAAAAGTAAACAGCTATCGGACATTTTCGTTTAGAGATCAGATAATGGTATAAAAAAATAAACAAAATAAACAAATAGTTATGGAATTTTTCATTATTGTTTAAATAATAATGAAAATACAAAAAAACTGCTGTGAATACAGTAAACAATGTATTTATTATAAGGATATGTGGTTGTGGAGATGGTTGAGTTTTTGATTAAAATTGTAGAGGTTAATTCCCCCTAGATTTGACTCCAATAAATAGTATCCCGTTAACTGAGTATTTAATGCAGGCTAAATCTCCTAGTAGAATTATAGACTTACTAGAGATTATTCAAAAGTCTGAACACCAGTTATAAAGATAGTTTATTGTTAAAGATTGGCAAAATCCGCAAGCGTATAGGAAGCAAACACACGAGGAAACCAAGTGTGTGTGTGTGAGTGCTAATCAAGTATGGATAAATGATTGATTATTTGTGTGTTACAACCAATGGGAGAATAGATTGAAAATTGATGTGCAGACATGTGCTCAATCATACTCACACAAAGGTTTACATAGTGGATTAAGTGTCTAAATTACAGTGAGCAGATAAATAATACAATAGTTGAATGGGCTTACTACATGATCAAGAAAACAACGAAAGATTATTGATCAACATTGTAGATTGGTTGAAGTTATGTATTAACACAGTTGGATGCTGGCTCAATGGTCTGGAGGTTTAGCGTTCGTGTGCAAGATCGAAAGTCCTGGGTTCGAATCCCGCGTACAGGATTATAGATACACAGTGCTAAGGAGTTCCATACTAGGACGAAATGACCATCCAGTGCTTCTAGGTTTTCAATGGCGGTCTAGTATTGATGGATTCATGATCTC